AATCTCAAAGAATTGCTAACATCAGCCTTAGCTAGGGCAGTGGTACGTAGAATCTACCACCGGATCGGAAACGCGATAAATTCAGCGGGTTAAACATCTAACAAAGTCTGTAATAATATTAATAATACAGAGCCATACTAACAAAATTATATACAATAATAGTCCAGATTTTTTTTATTGCCCTTGTAGGCAGACGAGTGCACGGCCCACCTGATGGTGAGTGGTTACCGTCGCCCATGGATTTCAGCAAAGCCAGGGATAGAGCCAAGCCGCTGCCTACCGCTTAATACTCTCCACGAGCCTCGTTTGAAGAAGGACATGTCATAGCGCTCGGGAAACACCGTGGAGGGGAGCTCATTCCATGGCCGGATGGTACGTGGCAAAAAACTAAAATATAACTCTAATTGATAAAATAAAGAAAGTAGTGAATTTAATAGACATAGCTGTTCCTAACACCCATAATATTCAGAAAACAATAACTAAAAAAATAAATAAATGTACAGAATTAAAGGAAGAAATCACTAGAGTTTGGAAAATGAATAAAGTAATGCCGCTCTGGTGCTTTCCAACACTGGAGTCATACCAAAGCACCTTCACCACTCCATAAAGCTATGGGGGAGTTGGTGAAGCTTCACGGTGTAGGAATAACATCGTGTAATAAAAATCAAACCCGCAAAATTATAATTTGCGTAATTACTGGTGGTAGGACCTCTTGTGAGTCCGCGCGGGTGGGTACCACCACCCTGCCTATTTCTGCCGTGAAGCAGTAATGCGTTTCGGTTTGAAGGGTGGGGTAGCCGTTGTAACTATACTTTTGAGACCTTAGAATTTATGTCTCAAGGTGAGTTACGCATTTACGTTGTAGATGTCTATGGGCTCCAGTAACCACTTAACATCAGGTGAACTATGAGCTCGTTCGGCCATCTAAGCAATAAATTAAAAAAAAAACAGTTGAAACATTTCGTATCTTATTTCAACCTCTAATAACTTTGTTTCGTACTCAATCTGATTTTGTCTCTTATTATCATTTCCATTCGAGTACATAGGATATCGTTTGATAAGAGCTATGTTCCAATTTAAAGTCTTATCTTTGTTTAGTTGGAAACCGTTCACCGGATAAGGCGGTTGTGTGCGCGTTAAAAAAAATCGATCCCAAAAGCGATGTGTAGCTCCGTGCGTTGTAATAAGTAGTGTAAAAAATATTGCACGGCCTTTTGTATTGCACAAAGACGCGATATTAAAATACGAATTTAGATACAAGGCTAACAACTCTGGTTGGCCTTTGTGAATTTTGTGAATTAATTTGATAACTTCGCGTCGAATAAAGAATAGTTACGGTAATAGAAAATATATATATGTGTGTATGTACATATATACATATATTTTATAATTTCAAATTATCGAATGTGCGTGTTTTTATTTTATTTTCATTTTTATTAATTTTTTATTTAATAACTAGCTGACCCGGCAGACTTCGTAGTGCCTCAATCGATAAATAAAAGACCTAAACTTTTGTATAAAATAAACTTAAAACAAACAAAAGGAATCCGTCCGACGGGGGACACATCAAAGGAAAAACAAAATTGTTATTATTATTTAATTCCGAGCATTTTCATATTTACCTACTTTTTAAACCTTCTCTGGACTTTCAAAAATAATTCAAGACCAAAATTAGCCAAATCAGTTCAGCCGTACTCGAGTTTTAGAGAGACTACCGAACAGCAATTCATTTTTATATAGGTATATAGATAGATGAACGAAGCTGGGAATAATGATAATTTCACCCTGAATAATTAATCATTATAATTACGCTAACGTACATGAATAACCTAGAAATGTCTAGAATTTTGAGAGAGGTTTTTTTATGAGTTATGTAAATTTTTCGGCAAACAATTGTGTTTTTTTATTTATTGCTTATATAGGTGGATGAGCTTACAGCCCACCTGCTACCTACAATGTAAATGCGCCACCCACCTTGAGATATACGTTCTAAGGTCTCAGTATAGTTACCACGGCTGCCCCACCCTTCAAACCGAAACGCGTTACTGCTTCACGGCAGAAATAGGCGGGGTGGTGGTACCTACCCGTGCGGACTCACAAGAGGTCCTACCACCTAATTGTGTCTTAGCTGAGAATATTTTTCTACGTGAACCTATTTTGACAATTGTTAACAACCAACTGAGTTTCTCGCCGGATCTGCTCAGTGGGTCGCGATTCACCGCTCTTGCTAGGGCCAGTTTTAGCAAATTCTCTCAGGTTGAGCCCGTGAGCTCACCTACCAGTCCGCCTAACAATTAGCTTAATAATAGACCCTTAATCTATCAGTGATTAGGTAGGGAATTCTGGGATCCCTTTTAAATTCTATCTAGATCCGACCGTAGTACTTTTTGAGTTATCCTTAATTATACTTAGGTATTTGATATTGTCATTGCACTCCGTCGAAATCGCCATTACTTATTACAAAAAATTCGTATTATTAGTACCCGCAATCAAGCTTATAAAAACACGGTTGCGATAACCAAAAAAAAAAAAAAAAGAAACCCTAAGCTCTTGAAGTGTTATAAAAAAATAAGCAAGCAAAGACAATCAAAATGGCCGACTCTACGTCGAAAAGCGCGCCAAAAATCAATGAGGAAACCGCCGAAAGACAGTTAAACGAATTGATAAACGTGGACAGTCACGATGAGTATGAGAATAGGCTGAGCAGGATCAGTAGCGCCCTAGCGAACTGGATGAAATCAGTTTTCAATATGGACACCACGACCAAGGAAGAATTCGATCCTGTTTGGTTATCGGTAAGTGAATGTTACGCGTTGTTCGGCTTACAGTTTTGTACGTACAGTAAGTATTGTTACGCGCTGGGGTTCGGGATAAATAAATGCTCCACAGAAGTACAAATTAAAACTGTATTAGATCACTTAAAACACTCAAACACTTTAAAATTCTGAATCCGCTTCTTCCGTTTCGCTTCAGGTGATCCGTTCGCTGTTTCGCGTCGAGCAGTTCCGATTATTGACTGACTGCGTGCCATCCCTATGAAGTCGTCGTGGCCTAACGGATAAGACGTCCGGTGCATTCGTGTTGAGCGATGCACCGGTGTTCGAATCTCGCAGGCGGGTACCAATTGTTCTAATGAAACACGTACTCAACAAATGTTCACGATTGATTTCCACGGTGAAGGAATAACATCGTGTAATAAAAATGAAACCCGCAAAATTATAATTTGCGTAATTACTGGTGGTAGGACCTCTTGTGAGTCCGCGCGGGTGGGTACCACCACCCTGCCTATTTTTGCCGTGAAGCAGTAACGCATTTCGATGTGAAGGGTGGGGCAGCCCTTGTAACTATACTTGAGACCTTAGAACTTATATCTCAAGGTGGGTGGCGCATTTACGTTGTAGATGTCTATGGGCTCCAGTAACCACTTAACACCAGGTGGGCTGTGAGCTCGTCCACCCATCTAAGCAATAAAAAAAAACCAAAAGAAACGCTGTTATAGCTGATACCTTGTCCCTAGAATTATCGAGAATATTCTACACATCTCTAGTAGTAGTTTCCGCTATCTATCAATAGATTGCGTTGTACTTCTCGAGCGTTCTGGGCGCTACTAGATCTTTCGATACTCGTTCGACTATTTGGCGATAGATGGCGTTACTCTTATCGGCGTAACAATAATATTAGTCCACTTATATACGTCCAATGCGGGATTTAGTCCTACCCACGCTACGTCTTTAGGGACGCGGTCGCAACTCGTAAGGTTATTGCCCTCAGCGACCACCTGTTCTACAAGATGCTCTGCCCAAAACTTCGCAATCTTTCAGGTTTTTTCTTCAGGTCTTCTGGAATGCTCTCTAATCTAATAAGTCTAACAAAAAGAGAGTTTTAATGTGTTTGTGAAGTGTTCTATCTAAGTGTTGAATACAGTTCTAATATGTACTTTGGTGAAATTTTATTTATCCCGAACCCTCAGCGCGTAACAGTATTTTTTGTTTAGACCATTATTACTATTACGTTCATTGGATAGATAGCAATATATGCTTGTAAGCGCGAACGAAAACTGACCTGACATGAAACAGGGATGTCGGAATACCAGGTGATCGTGTGCGCTCGAGTAATTAATTACACAATATAATTCTAAGATACAGAACAGAAGGCACCCGATTTCTTGCTTATCACCTTAACGCGCGATACGGATTAATTAAAAAAAAAGCATTAAATTCAATTATATCTAATCTCAGACAAACGAATCCGTTGTATCTCTGACCTCTATTTCCCCCAAGTCGATTGACGAATGAATGCACCTTTGATGTTTGTGAAATTTTAAGAGATTCAATGCTTATTCTTTTGCACAACAACCCCTTTTGTTTCTCAGTGGTCTCTTGTGAGGCAACGTCAAATTAAAACTGATAACTAAACGTTTGATAATAATAAAATCATTCATTGCCTTTCTTTCACTCAGAAAACACTTAGATACTCAATATAAAAGAAATATCCTCCTTGCGTCGTATTCCTCATTGCTGAGGGTCGTGACCACCCTTTTGTATCACCTTCGCACGCACGATGTTTCTCCATCTATTCTTGTCTCTGGCGGTGCGGAGGGCGTTGTGAAATGTGGAATCAAGAGCGGTGCGGATCTGGTCGGACCAACGTATTGGGCTGCACCCCCGAGGTCTTTTCCCATCTATATATCAGAAATATAAGGGAAGGGAAAAGGGGCTAGGTTAGCTGATGACTGCCGAGATTGGGTGGAATTACGCTCGAGACTGGGCTGATTTTCAGTCACTTCCGTTCCGTTTTTTCTTCATTATTATGGATGAGTTTACGACTTTTAGGTGTCGAAGCGTGAATGACGTCACCTTGACCAGTTAGTGTGGGCCTTTCCCCACATCTGAATGGCACAGGTTTTTTCGGGAGTCATTTGGGCGTGTCTGATCTTTAACGTAAGATAAAGGCAGCAATGTCCTTGTCGCCTATTGAAGGGCTCTTGTTTTTGTCACCAGATCGATGAGTACAAGAGTCAGGCTAACGAGAGCATGGCGAACGCTTGGCGCATCATCACGCTGCCAAACTGGACGGTGGAGAAGCGAGGGACCGTCAGGGGAGACGTCGTGGAGTCCAGGAAAGTTGAAGGCTTCGGCAAGGTCTATAGATTTACGGTAAGTCATCGGTGTGTTAGTTGATTTTTTTGTGTTCCCCATCCATCCAGTACCCTCAGAGGATTCATCCTGACTTCTGGGTGAGCTCACGGAGCTCAGCCTAGGAGAATTTGCTAACATGTGTCCTAATAGAGCAGCGTTTCCCTAAATCTACCATCGGATCGGAATGGCGACCCACTGAGAAGACCCCGCGTAAAATTCAGCGGATTTTACTGGTTTACGGGTCTTACAAAGAAATACTGGTATATATACCACTGCCGTGTTAAAGCATTTAAGAGCTATATTATCAGTCCATAGGTTCATCGTCAGATCAGCTTGATAGTACCGTATTATTTGTATTGTGATTGGAAGTGCTCGGAATTGGCAAACTTTATGCGGACATACCGAAAGTTCATTTTGCAACAGATTGAATCTATCACCGGATCGGAAACGCGACCCACTGAGAAGATCCGGCGAGAAACTCAGTGGGCTGTGTTTGAGGGTTAATTTACTTGTCGAGCCCTTCGTCGCAAGCGACGGTTTCGACGAGAACGGTGACCGGTGCTTGGGGTACCTAAAAGCACCGTTAGTGGATCGGGAGGATCCGAAATGACGTGTTTTGGGCGACGTCGACTGTTTACCATTTGGTCCGCAGGATCGGCTATATAGTTTCCGTCGGCCACGATGAGAGGATTCTCATGTCGTGCCGCTTTATCGAAGTGATGCTGCAATTTTTTATTCTATTCTATCAGCCCATCGACGTCCACTGCTGGACATAGGCCTCCCCCAAGCCTCGCCACAAAGACCGGTCCTGCGCTGCATCCAGCGGATCCCCGCGAACCTCAATAGGTCGTCGGCCCACCTTGTGGGAGGCCTACCCACGCTACGTCTATGAATAATATGAATTTAATATCCATTGCGCCTATAATATTTAGAGCAAGCGTTGGAACACAAATCGGAATGCAGACGATATTGACTCACAAAAGAAAAGGATCCGTGTAATTTCAATCAGACGTCACATTATCTCAGTACTTAAAGGATTTGCATTCGGATTAAAATGATAAAAAGATAAGACATCTACTTGTAATTATTTGTCAACTGATTTTATCGGTGCATATTTCAGCCGTGAAGCAGTAATACGTTTAAGTTGCTTAGGTGTGTGGACTATCTCACAGCCCACCTGATGTTAAGTGGTTACTGGAGCCCATAGACATCTACAACGTAAATGTGGCACCCACCTGGAGATATAGGTTCTAAGGTCTCAGTATAGTCACAACGGCTGCCCCACCCTTCAAACCGAAACGCATTACTGCTTCACGGCAGAAATAGGCGGGGCGGTGGTACCTACCCGTGCGGACTCACAAGAGGTCCTACCACCAGTAATTACGCAAATTATAATTTTGCGGGTTTCATTTTTATTACACGATGTTATTCCTTCATCGTGGAAGTCAATCGTGAACATTTGTTGAATACGTATTTCATTAGAAAAATTGGTACCCGCCTGCGGGATTCGCTCGTATTCACTCGTATTCGTAATTCACTCGTTGAGCCCTTCGTCACAAGCGACGGGTTCGACGAGGACGGTGACCGGTGCTTGTTGTGGTACTTAAAAGCACCGTTAGTGGATCGGGGCAGTCCCACGAGGAACGCTGCTATAATATTATGCTATAATATACCCTATCCCTGTTATTAACATTGTCCGCTCGTTTTGTCCGCCAGGGTGTAGTCAACTGTCCCGCCAGGTTTCTATACGAGGAGTTCAAGAACAACCTGACGAAGTTGCCCGAATGGAATCCGACGATATTGAAATGCGAAATAATTAAGGTGAGTTTCAACTATGTCTAATTTTTCTGGCCTCGAGAAAGAAATTTAGATTTCAGCGCCATCTTTCGATTAAGGAATGCGGTAATAGCTTAAAAGCAATGACGACCCATGCTATCTATCTTCAATGACGTTAAATCACGGGAAACACTATTACTTCCCAATACCCCTGAACTCTTTTTTTTTTATCGCTTAGATGGGTGGATGAGCTGACAGTCCACCTGGTGTCAAGTGGTACCGAAGCCCATAGACATCTACAGCGTAAATGCGCCACCTACCTTGAGATATGAGTTTTAAAGTCTCAGTATAGTTACAAAGGCTGCCCCGCCCTTCAGACCGAAACGCGTTACTGCTTCACGGCAGAATTGGTGCCTAACCGTGCGGACTCACAATTCGTCCTACCACCAGTAAACAAGAGCAAACAGCAAACCGGTAAACAACAACTCCCCTGTCCCCTCAAAAGTAATACCCACAGAAGGAGCATTGTCTTTACTGAACCAGCGATTCTAATCGTTCAGGAAATCGGCGATGGCGTGGACCTGTCGTACCAGGTGACGGCTGGCGGGGGACGAGGCATAATAACCCCTCGCGACTTCGTGATCCTGCGCCGGATCGCGCTACTCTCCCGGGAGGGACGCGTCGTCGACGAAAATCCCCACGGATACATCAGTAGCGGAGTCAGCGTTCAAGTTCCCGGGTACCCGCCCCTCAAGGAGATGGTTAGGTGAGCTGTCATCAGTCGGTTCTGTGTGATTTATGCTTATTAATTGCCAAGCGATATTGATTCTTAACTAAAAGGACAGTAAAATGAGTTTGGTGACTCTTGGCCAGGCAAAGTTTCAGGGTACCCGCCCCTCAAGGAGATGGTTAGGTGAGCTATGAGTCGGTTCTGTGTGATTTATGCTTGTTAATTGCCAAGCGATATTGATTCTTAACTAAAAGGACAGTAAAATGAGTTTGGTGACTCTTGGCCAGGCAAAGTTTCAGGGTACCCACCCGCCCCTCAAGGAGGTGGTTCAGTGAGCTATGAGTCGGTTCTGTGTGATCTATGCTTGTTAATTGCCAAGCGATATTGGCCCTTAACTAAAAGGACAGTAAGATGAGTTTGGTGATTCTTGGCCAGGCAAAGTTTCAGGGTACTGTTACACACTACTCTACAAAGCAGCTTTGCCCTAATCAGCTCGTTTACAAGCTCACTGTGTTTTTCCATTAGAGTCATCATTTTTAGCTTTCTTGTAAAATCAAATCGTATTGAAAACCAGTTAGAATCTGGAAGCCGTCGCGAGCATACATAAGTTTGAGAAGTCAACAATAGTGTTGTAAAATTGTGAAGTCTAATAAAAGACAGTTTAGTCGTGAAAAGTTTTTGTGTTTTTTTTTAAAAAGAAGTTTGAGAAAGGCCGTGTAACAGTACCCACCCGCCCCTCAAGGAGATGGTTCAGTGAGCTATGAGTCGGTTCTGTGTGATCTATGCTTGTTAATTGCCAAGCGCTTAACTAAAAGGACAGTAAGACGAGTTTGGTGACTCTTGGCGAGACAATGATGACTAACATATCGAAAGGTATTTGAGTGAAGCGACATTTCGCTTAATACACGACACATATCTTTGTAATCAAAGGCCCGTTTTATTTGGTATTAGCATCAACAGTTCGATGTTTTTACTCCGCTCAAACAGCTGAAGAAGTTTTGTTTTTTATTACGATATTTTTTCCAAACTTTCAACTTTAAATGGCTCTCCTTAAGTTCCAAAAATGTCGCATAAGCCAAATAGCTTTTCACTTGTCCTATAGTCCTAGATACGGCTACGAATTCGAATGTGCCAGGCTGTATACGAAATGCCCCATGGCCTTGAGGAATCGCTCGAGATGATTCTGTTGAGGTTGTTTTCAATGAAAGGAGACCAGTAGTGTTCTTAGACAATTGTATTCACGGAAAGGAAGAAGGGAGCCATGACAGACATATTTAAACAAGTAACCATAGGTTAATATAAATCAGTATTATAAAATTACATACAACCATAGATTACAACAGATTCATCTGTTTCAGGGGACACAATAAAGTCGGTTGCTGGTACCTACAGCCTCGGACTGTACATACTGCTGGAGGAAAAATCGAGGACCAGACCCTGTTCCAATGGTTGATGTGTTGTGATCTCAAAGGTGAGGTTGTTTTAGAGTTAATTTATTATTCACTATCTGATCCGATAGACTTCGTAGTGCCTCAATCGGTAAATAAAATACCTAAAATTTTGTATAAAATATACTTAAAACAAACAAAAGGAATCCGTCCGACGGGAGACACATCAAAGGAAAAACGAAATTGTTATTTTTATATAATTCCGAGCATTTTAATATTTATCTAAATCCTTTTAAACCTTCTCTGAACTTTCACAAATAATTCAAGACCAAAATTAGCCAAATCGGTCCAGCCGTTCTCGAGTTTTAACGAGACTAACGAACAGTAATTCATTTTTATATATATAGATATAGATTTACGATCATTACGAGATGCGTATACGTACGTAGCCAGTAGTACGTAGAATGAACGCTTCGCTTAGATTTTGAAAGCGGCAATGTGACGCAAAGCTCGCTGTCGCATCGGAAGCTTGGTGCCTTATGATTTTACTGTGCTATCGTGTTAGTAACTGTTACTGGTGGTAGGACTTGTGAGTCCGCACGGGTGGATACCACCGCCCTGCGTATTTCTGCCGTGAAGCAGTAATGCGTTTCGGTTTGAAGGGCGGAGCAGCCGTATACTGAGACTTTAGAACTCATATCTCAAGGGGGATGGCGCGTTTACGTCATAGATGTCTATGGGCTCCTGTAACCACTTAACACCAGGTGGGCTGTGAGCTCGCCCACTCATCTAAGCAATAAAAAATAAAAATAAATTACTAGAGTCGAACACAAACCCGTCATATTTCTTTAGAGTAATTATCAGCACTTGGATATAAGTTAATAAAAATATACCAAAGGATTACCGCTAGTGATTCATTCGCAACATGCGTGGGGGTAGGTGCTAATCTAATTGTTATAATTATCTAACTACCCAGCAAATATAACAATAAACTATACATATTGTTAATATTATAATAAGCTAGCATAAATAATTAATAGTATCCCCTGAACAACAGATGGCGTTAGTTGTAGGTTCATACGAATTTCTGATTACCCTATGTGTGCACTTTTGCACTTAATTAGTTAATACTCTGCTTTACTAATGACGTCGTTGTCTAACAGGTGAGAAGTCCACTGGACTCTGATCGAACGATGCTACTGTATCTGTGTTGCCACACCACAGATACACATTGCTCTACAACGCTTTAAGGCCGCAACCTCATGATTCAAGCCGCCGAACCTCGTGAAGCCGCTTTAATGGCCGCTCGATAAAAAACAAAAACTTTTTAAAACAAATGCCAAAAAATATCTATGATTTCAGGTAAAATACCTCAATTCGTGTTGGACGTCGCTTTCGCCACTGTGATGCTGGACTACATCGTGCACGTCAGGAAGTTCGTGGCTGAAGCGAAGGCCAGAGCCGAATTCTGACCTTGAAACGTCCAAAAGCTGCATCTGCTTACACTGGTGGTAGGACCTCTTGTCAGTCTGCGCGGGTAGGTACCACCACCTCGCCTATTTCTGCGCCGTGAAGCAGTAATGCGTTTCGGCTTGAAGGGCGGGGCAGCCGTTGTAACTATACTTGAGACCTTAGAACTTATATCTCGAGGTGGGTGGCGCATTTAAGCTGTAGATGTCTATGGGCTACAGTAACCACTTAACACCAGGCTCGTCCACTCATCTAAGCTATAAAAAACCCCCTCAAAATTCGACTGACAAGTGAGGGGAAGGTTTGCTGGAGAATCCCGATGACTCAGGACTGATAGTAATCATGACCCGTCGTAAGAATACTAATTTGGATCATGATAACAAAAAATCTGATAAATAACTCATGGATACCTTGAAAATGCTTCGCGTGTCTGTAAGTGCTCTAATATACCAGAATGGGTAGCATTGATGTATGTCGAGATCGCGGCGTTCACGTTGTGGTCAGTGGACCACTAGGACATCCGGCTACAATTAGTTTGATAAAGTAATGGCATTGAAACTCCCGAAAATCGCGAGCTTACGGAATATCAAACGTTGTAAGTGAACCCGCAATGGAAGACGAAGGTAGCTGATATTTTGTTACATTGCGCGCCCCTATGACGGCTTTACTAAGAACCAATGTTCGCTCATCGGCCGAATTACATTGATTTAAAGATTTTATAGCTTTAGATACATCACAAATACCTTACAGATTTGGTTTTTAATACGCTTTTATTAGCCTTCAGACGTATGTATGTTAGTATGTAACGGAATCTTTGAACATGATTTTGACCCCCTTCAAAACGTCGGATTAACTCGAAATTTGGTATACTTATTAAGGACCGATGACAATACAATATTAAAATGAAAAATAATTGAAAAAATTTAAATTCAACTAAACTAAAAAAAAAACGCTTTTATAAAAAATCAAATATATCAAGAAATTATCAAAATAACCTTTCTACTCATATCTGTTCATAAAATATTTATAACTACTGATGATACCATGCAACCCAAGTTTTTTTTTTACAATAAAATCATTTTTTCTTACACTATTTTTTAATTCAAATTAAAATTTATTTTCTATTTTTTAGTTGGATTTTCTATAAAAGCGTATTTTTTTAAAAATGTTTTTAAACTATTATTTATTAAATGAGAATTTCTGCATACAGGGTGTGAAAAAGTACAATCATCGTTCTGATTCAATAGCACACTCTTAGATGTATATACGTATCTTTCTTACACTAAATCGCGTTATGAGCCACGTCATCAGCACGACAGAGAAGTCTTATGTTTCTGTCGGACACAGGGGACATACGAGGCCTATAAGACCTCGTACGCTGTGATTTTGTAAAATTTCGCAATTTAAATTATATGCGCGCCAATTGTCAAGTTAATCAGACGTTTTGGAGTCTGTGGAAATGACGTTAGAAGATTCCGTCACATAGATATATAGATAGCTAATAAGGATGTGTCTCTGTTTACTGAGGGTAGTTTCAACGCAGCCCTGCTCTTGCTAGGGTCAGCTTACTGGTGGTAGGACCTCTTGTGAGTCCGCGCGGGTGGGTACCACCGCCCTGCCTATTTCTGCCGTGAAGCAGTAATGCGTTTTGAAGGGTGGGGCAGCCGTTGTAACTATGAGACCTTAGAACTTATATCTCAAGGTGGGTGGCGCATTTACGTTGTAGATGTCTATGGTCTCCAGTAACCACTTAACACCAGGTGGACAGTGAGCTCGTCCACCCATAAGCAAAATGCCTCGGCTTGAGCCTACCAGACCGTGCGAAGCTAAAATAGCCCTTCAAGCTACCAGCAATTAGGTAGAGAATTAAAAAACTGTTGGCTCCAATATCTGGAGTCTCCTCAATCCACCTCACCCACAAAACTCTCCAACCACGACTCTTAGAGCAGCGTAAATATATAACTCATATAATTAACGTAAGCTTTATAATTATTTTTAATAAAGAAATTGAATTTTTTCAATGTTGTTTTATTTGCGAAAGCTAACGGTTAGCGTGGTATGGACATGTGATGCGTAGAGAGGAGATGCATGTGACTAGGAGATGTGTGGGAATGGTAGTGCAAGGCAAAGGGGGAGGAGGTCGATCGAAGAAGACATGGATGGAGTGTGTGAATGACGATATGAGAGAGAGAGGAGTGAGTGTTGAGATGACAGCTTATAGAAGAGAATGGAAGAGAAAAATTACCTGTGCCGTCCCCACCTAGTGGGATAAGGTGGAAAAAAATAAGAAGTTGTTTTATTTACGAGAATGTGTGTTTTGCGGCGAAATGGTCGGTTGTGTCGCGATGGAGACTGAGTTGGGTGCTTGCGAGAGCAGGTTATCGAAACAAAAAGGGTGCTCATGCAATTTGATGCACGTGAATGAAGTGAAACTTCTTGTTTCGAAGTGTAGTATTGTGGTTTTCTTCATTTTTCATCCTTTTATTTATTTATTGCCCTTGTAGGCAGACGAGCATACGGCCCACCTGATGGTGAGGGGCTACCGTCGCCCATGGACTCCAGCAATGCCAGGGGCTGAACCAAGCCGCGGCTTACCGCTTAATACTTTCCGCAAACCTCGTTTGAAGCATGTCATGCATGAACATGTCATAGCGCTCGGGAAACACCGTGGAGGGGAACTCATTCCATAGCCGGATGGTGCGTGGCAAAAAAGATCTCTGAAAACGCACTGTGGATGACCGCAGTGCCTCCAGGTAGTATGGATGAACTCTACTCCGGTGGCGGGCGGTGCGATGGTAAAAACGAGATGCCGGTATCATCTCGAACAATTCCTCAAATTAAATCCTTTTATCCTTAAATCAAATTGCTCTTGTGATAGGGAATGCTGAGTATAAGAGATGCGACATCTTCAACATTTATATTCTATTATATATTTAAGACAGAAAATCTAAATTATAGATAAAAAAAGAAATATATGTATTTTTTAAATACTTCATTAGGTATAGTAATGCGTTTCGGTGTGAAGGGTGGGGCAGCCGTTGTATACCTACTAGAAAAACTGAGAGAACTATATGGGCATGTCATAGCACTCGGGAAACATCGTTGAGGGGAGCTCCAGAGGTGGGTACGGTCATCGGGTGCCGGAATACCTCGCCCCCCACTGCCCCCAGCACCAGACTTCATTCATTAATGGAAGTGAAACTTCTAATGCGACTTCCAACAGGGTAGCGTTAAACGTTTAACGCTCCTGGGGAGGGGTAATAGAAAGAGACAGAGCGAGAGTTGATGCGCGCAGTATACCTGACACAGCGCGAGCGTTAAGCCGGCCACTCAAGGGTGAAGGCCCGTCAAACATTCATTCGCAAACTTAGCAGCTGTGCAAATGGGTTCGCATACTCAATTTGCGAACCCGTTTGCGCTTCCTCCTACACTTGTTTACGAATGTCTCACGAATTTCTCCTCCTTTTTAATTCGTCAATAGAACATTGAAGAGAAAAAGAGTTTTGAATTCTTTCCCAGACATCATTAACAGCCATGCTGTTTTTATGGGATTTCTTTTGATGANCCATACCACCTGGAGCCACTGCGGTCATCCACAGTGCGTTTCCAGAGGTCTTTTTTGCCACGTACCATCCGGCTATGGAATGAGCTCCCCTCCACGGTGTTTCCCGAGCGCTATGACATGTCCTTCTTCAAACGAGGCTTGTGGAGAGTATTAAGCGGTAGGCAGCGGCTTGGCTCTGCCCCTGGCATTGCTGAAGTCCACGGGCGACGGTAACCACTAACCATCAGGTGGGCCGTACGCTCGTCTGCCTACAAGGGCAATAAAAAAAAAAAAAAGAGTTTCGAATTCTTTCCCAGACATCATTAACAGCCATGCTGTTTTTATGGGATTTCTTTTGGTGAAGATACGCTACACGGTAGGCGTCACGATCTATGAAAATAGCGACACGTCCGTTGCCTTCGCAATCCTGGGCGCAACTGGTCACACGAATGTGTGGGAGACTACGCGAAGGATCGCGGTTCGCGCGCTCTGATGTTCGTTAAAAACCGACACAGCTTGGAAAACTACGAATGCAGCGAAACCTTTACATAATCATTTGCAAATGTCGTCCTACACTTGCGGGTTTGCGTATTCGTGCGAATGTGAGTGACCAGTATTAGCAATGTGTAGCGGCCAATGTTTTAATGAAGTATTTAAATATATACAGTCAAAACCGTTTACTGTGACATCGTTTAATACAACATGCTGGTTATAATAACCAAGACCAAAGGTCCCGGCTGAATGCCATATGACCGCCTTATTAAAAATATTGCTTTCTACGACATTGGTAATAACGACATACCTCATAAAACGACCACATTTAGCGAATATTTCGGAGAATTAGATCTGTTAGAGCGACCGGCTAAGCTGTATTGTAAACAATTTGAATGGGTATCCACATTTGACTTCAATGGCTTTTAAAATCAGGAAAGAAAACAATAGGATTTAGTTTAGTGTAGGGTCTTTTCTAATTCTTAGAAACAAAACACGTGCATGCGGTAGTCAAAGCCCGCTTCTTCATATCTCTTCAGTTAGTTTGTTACTTATCTATACACAAGACGCACCAAAACTTTGTGGAGTTATTCGTGAAACTTTAAAAATGTCGCAAAGAAAAATAAAACAAATTAATATTGAAGAAAAATCGCGTATTATATAAATATATTTTTCCAATAATTCCCTATCGATTTGTTTGTACTTGCACGATACATATTAAACATCACCGGTTGTTACGACTATCGGTTTTTACGACTGAATATGAGCAGTCCCTTCGATGTCGTTATAACAGATTTTGACTGTATGTATATTTATTTTTCTATCTATAATTTAGATTTTCTATCTAAAATATATCTATACTAATATTATAAAGTGGAAAGATTTGTTTGTTTGTTTGCATTACACTAAACGAAATCCTATTGTTTTCTTTCCTGATTTTAATAGCCACTGAAGACAAATGTGGATACCTATTCAAATTGTTTACAATACAGCTGAGCCGGTCGTTCTAACAGATCTAATTCTCCGAAATATTAGTTAAA